AAAAAAATTATATCGTTACTGTAAACACAATATTATTCTTGCATAACAATTTACTCGGACTCCTAAAATAATAATAGGTCAATTATTTGATAAAATAAAATAAATTAAAATGTGTATCCGTATCAATTCGATTAAATGTTAAGCTTCTGGGTTCATTAAAAAACACATAGTTATTACGATACAAGCTGGATTTCATTAGGTTTGTAACTGTGGTGATATATCATGTGGATATTGCCGTTTTATTTTTTAAGTCATGCTAAAGACGATATTTAAATTTATCTTCACGTATGTGTGAAGTTTATTCTACGAAAGTGAACAATCTTTGTCACTTATTAGTATAATTTTCWCGTGTACATCAGTTACAATATTTTCAAATAGCCAAGTTTACAGCACGGCAACAAATTCGACCGTGACCGATTTGACAATAAATTGAGTAATTGTATACTATGCATATTGTGCGATGTACATTGTACATAGGTACAGTGTCTAAAATAAAAAACAACACTTAAAACTTTTGAACAATGACCTTRCATTTTAAGTTGGTTTTGTTTGATCATGTCCTAGTTGATAGTTCACTGCAGTAAAGAAAAGGTTACTTATACTTTATACATTTAAGAAAAATATTTGTATTATTTTTTTCTTACGATAAGTAGCAATGTTTTTGGTTATATTTTAAGGTTAGATTAATTATGTTTAGTTACAATAATTATCTTATAATATACATAMKTATATTACAAAAATCACTACTCAGTAGTTAAAWATTCTAAAGTATTACTTGAAGTACTCCTGTGGCCATGTTTTCACAAGTTTCCCGGCAGGTATCAGTGTGACCAGGCATTTGAATGGTTGTACAGCATAATAACAGGTGGCCAAGACGATCAGTAGACCCAGTCCGTTTTTCCAACCGATGTCTTTTACRTCTGCAACACGTGGATGACGAAGATGACAAAAAATRTATCATTATTGTTTATTATACACATGTATACAAGGTGCTTTTTAAGCAWGTCCATCCATATTTTCACCTTTAACAGTATATTTAATAAAATTCAAATATTTAAAATTTCTAAATATACCAAAGTAAGACCAAAATTTTAAAATTTTCTATTTTTCAAGCGAGAATTTCCCCCTTTTTACTGAAAATTATTTAGCAAGTGGTTTTCTTGATCGTGTGATGGATCTGAATCTAAAGTCTAATGGATAAGCAGTTTTAAAATCATTAAATTTTTATACAAAGATAATAATCATGTTTTACCAAAACTATAAGTAATATTAAATGTAATATTTACTATACTATTACCCTGTTCTCAAAAAATAATTTCTCATACTTAACCCATTACTGTAGATAATATATTGTCCATAGTGTAAAAAGTTATATAACTCAATAATGACTTATCCAAATTTTGATTAAATTACATCCAAGTTTCTAAAAAAAATACCTGCTGGATATAATTAAAATTGAAAAAACGGAGTTTCTATTTGAAAATACAAGTTTGTATTAGAACAGTATCATCCTGAAGTGGTAAAAAATATAGTTAATAACTAAATAAATGATTTATAAATTCCAAAAATTTAAATTTAAATATATTATGCTTAATTTAAG